AGGAAACTGGGCTAAAACTGCAAAAGACAAATTCACTACTGTAATCAACAGGTGCTCTCTTGGCAAACAGAAAAACTCCACACCTCTCCTTTCGCAGTCTTGTTGCAAAACAGTATGTAGGGAATATCCGGGGACCGAGTGTGAGCTGTCAGCACAGGAAAGCTGGCTATGTGTACTACCTTTTGCACTGAGGACACATTTCCATCTAGCTCAGGAAGAGGGGCAAATTCTCACTCAAATGAGGGAGACTTTTTTGTGAGAGCAAGCTATGCGGCAAGATACCATGAGACTTGATAAATTTCCAACCACGCACAACAACGTGTCCGCATCATCTCTGCTTATCAGAGCTTTGTAATACCAGTGTGGATGTCGCAAAATAGCTAAGAATGCTCAAAAATGACTGGGCATGGGTTTTCCCATGGGCTGGCAATTTATTTTGCAGAGAAGATTGATTTCTGTTTTTCTAAAAACTAGAAGATTGCAGGGGCAATGTCTCACTGGGAGCTCTTAAAAAAAATCACTACCTTTTAAAGCAGAAATAAGGTTTGACAAGTACTTAACTCTGTATTTAACCTTAAGTGTTGCAGACTTGAGTAGGACAGAAGCATTTGCCTGCAGCATGCTAAAATGGAGATAAAGCCATATCTACGATATCTATTATGCACAGATTACGTAATTGAAGTGTGCGAATAGCCAAGAAACCTGTTTTCTGTCCGAAGAGCTATAGCACTTCTTTTAACTAAAAGAATATATAGTCCTCTGCTGCACTAGTTGCAATTCAAACATTCGTTGAAGCTTGAAAGGTGGAAGCTTTCAACAACGGAATATTTAGAAGGCAAATGTAATCTATCCAAATCTTATTTTGAAAGAATTCCATGTATGAACCGCATGAGATGTCTTTAGCCTCTAACGACTTACTGAGATATTTGCAATGTTAGCCATGGAAAAAATAACCTCCTCTAACATAAATAGCTGGAAGAACAAGATTCTAGTTGATCCCATGTGAAAAAATTGTGGAGAAGTAGTATTGTTATCCCAGAGGAAAAGGGTCTTTCTCTCTGAAATTAGCAGCATTCTTATTGTCTATGGTAATGGCTTTTCTAAAATTTGGTCTTTAGTATTAAAATTTACCATTTTTCGTTACCTAGTGAATATTAACAGTATCTGACATTGTGTAGGCCTGCTTGATCTGGAGTTTTCCCGAGAATGCATTAAAATGCTTTCTTTTAATAAGCCCTGATCTTGAAAATATTTACACTTTTTTTAGTTCTCTTTAGTGTAATTAGTAATGTTATTTATTTCACTTCAGTGAAATATAGTTAAATTAAGTTAATGCAAAAAAATCTTTATAGGCTTTGCTTAATAGAAAGTTTTTGGGTTTGTGGATTATTCCAACACAATTTAGTGGTGACAGGAACTAAGTGCTTTAAAAGGTAACAAAAAGCTTTCTGTAAAACTTATCTACTGCACCAATACAATGTAAAAGAGTTTTTAGCCCTTCCATTTACTCTTTTATCTATTCCATTTGAATGTTCTTAAACTATATTTTTTTCTGTACTGCAAAGCAGTATTTTCGTTTCCAATTGCCTACCATATATATCCAATTCTAGGAAGTTTTCCCAAAGAGACTGTATCCCTAGTTGTGTAAACAGTCATCAAAGAAGAACAGACTGAACTACTTTGCTCTTGCTGCAAGAGCCTCTATAGTAGTCATGACAGGTCTCTCTTACAGCAACATTGCCTGTGGAAGTTGTCTTCCTGGCGTGCAGCAATGGCTAGGGGATTTCAGCATGCATGGTCATACCTTCATTTTATTAAACTCACTAACGCCGGAGATGGTCTGCTTCGGTTCCTGAGCTACAGTGTTGCTAAGACTGGAAATGCTGGAAGGGAAAAAATCACAGCGCAGTGTCCCTTGGCCACGGCTAAGGGATTCTCTCACAGGACTTATTACTTCTGTACAGAAAGAAGCAGTAACACAAGACCTAACCAAAGCGTGAGGAGATGCTAAGCAGGCCACAACTTCAGAGATTTGTAGACTCCCAGCACACTCTGTTCCCTTGTCCCGTAGACCCAGTCCTCAATATCAGCAGCTCATCTTTCAACATCTCTTAGTCTCCAGTGCTGGAGCTCTGAATGGTGCTGCCAAAATACCACTCCTTGGCCTCAAAAATACTCTGTCACCGTCCCTGTGCACAGCCACGCTCTTTCGCGGAGTGGCTAACAGCCTCTGCCATTTTAATTCAAATTATCTCAAAAATAACCAGTTCACTGCAGGCATCCAGGATCCTAATCCTCCTGTGTTAAATGTTCCTTAGTCCTAGTACACAACAGAAATCTGTAGCATGGACTGGTGTTCCTCAGACAAGGAAGGAAATTGATATATACAGGCTCAGAAAGTCTCTCCTCTCTCTTTACTTCCTTATATTTATCCAGAGCTGGAAGTTGTCTGAAGGTTCCAGACAAGAAAGTTGCTTTCCTCCTGGGTGTGTTTCTCTGCCTGTGCATGTTGGAGATAAGCACTGTATTACTCTGAAGAGCTCTGTGGCACAGAAAAGCTGGACATTGAGGGACTGTGAACACTAACCTGAAGCTTGCACCGCAGAAGCAGTGAGAGTATGGCGTATATTTTCTTATTTTAAAATAAAGGAGGTTCTCCTTATAAGGAGTAGAGGGTGGGTGAAAGAAGGACTGCATTCAAGTACCAGGTGACAATGTCCGTCATACTGCTCAATGATGAAGCTAAGACGACAAAAATAGATAAAGTGACCTCATGGCTTTGGGCAGCAATGCCTACGAGACAAAAGAGAGGCTTTAAAAGGATTGTGGAGCTGATAGCAAAGAGCTTGGACACCTCAGAGTTTTGGTTCTGCTCCAGCAGGGAACTGCTCTGCTTCTCCTCTCATTGCCTCGCTCTGTTTATGGTGAATTAAACGGGCTTTGTGACATGCCCAGCTCTCCAGGTCTTGACTGTGCCTTCTCAAGCTGGGATCAGCCTTATACAGGTACAGATATGTCCTCTTTTCTTTTCTTTTCTCTTTTCTTTTCTTTTCTTTTCTTTTCTTTTCTTTTCTTTTCTTTTCTTTTCTTTTCTTTTCTTTTCTTCTTTTCTCTTCTCTTCTTTTCTTTTCCCTTTCTTCCCCTTTCCTTTCTTCTCCTTTTCCTTTCCTTGCCCTATTCTTTTGCCTATTCTGATTTCACTCTTGCTCTTTATCTTCAGAAATTCATCCCAGGACGATTTCTCTTTCTCTTTTTTCTCAAACTGTCGTGGCAGATTGCATCTAGAATAGCATGATCATTTTTTGTTTGGGGGATTGGTATAATTAATGTGCTTTAGCCTTTGGTGAGGAGAGAAGAGAGAGGCGAGTAGCAGGTTCCAGAGAGCCTTACTTGCCAGCTACTTCACAGCACAGCGAAGTTCAAAGCAATTTCTGAGGGAAGCTGTAGATAAATGCTAAAGCTAAGCCAGGAACAAGAGTTGGTGGAGGCATAGCCAAGACTGTCTACTGTTATATTTTCTCTAACAGTATTTGCTAGCCCAGACTCTACAGTTGTGCGCTTTCATGGTGCTCTGCTGTCAGAAGGAGCTATACAGACACTCACTTTGGATAGTGTAGCGCCTTAGCTGTTAGCTCCTGATGAGCGAAATCCTCCTGTGAATCACTCATAGTCCAGAGTTTACATATTCTGCACTTGACTAAGACTCTGTAGTGCTTGCTCTTCCTCCTTGTAAATTTCGAAGCAAAATATGAGGAGGGTAAGGTGCAGTAGTTTGTAGCAAGGATGCTTGTAGCAAGAAAGAAATCTCTCTTATTTCCTCCATTTTGAATAACTCAGAGATATGCATGCAATTGTGTAAGTGGACTGGACAGACCTTCAGTGGAATGGCTGCAAAACTCGAGTCGACTCTTTCTTTAGCTTAAGCTTCCTGGAAGCCTGTCTGCTCTGCATGGGCTGAAAGAAGGAAACTCTTTCTGCTGTGGCTGCACAGGTACGGTATGGAATGAGGATACCTGCCACAGTTGTGCAGAGTAGCCATGTCTTGGGAGACATCTGCAGCCCTCAGGAAAACTGATATTCTTCTTCTGTGATATCCCTGTCCCCCACTGCAGGTAACAGTAGCAGTTCCCCATTGAATAATGCTCTGTGATAACAGGATCAGACGTGAGATCCTGAAAGGTCTGAGTGGCTTCCATCCTCTCTTGAGCTAACACCATCTCCCAGCACTGCCTGTAGCTCTCCTCTCCTGCAGGGCATAATTTTGTACCTCTTTCTTGAGAATATCTGCTCTAGACAAGGTGCTACACTGCTTTTTTTGACAAATTATTAGCTGCAGGCAGTGGATGGATGTTTCACCTGTATTATCATGCCGGGAAAAAGACAATGGGAGTAAGAAAAAGAAAGAAATGAAAGAAATAAAAAATTATAGTCTAACATTTAGGTATAGGGCTCTACTGACTAGTGAGCTGGCAGAGCAGGTGGAAAATTATTACCCCACAGTTTCATGCCAGTGTCCCGACAGGTGTTGGCTTTTCCAAGCAAGCCTGTCTAAGAAGTAGATTCCTTCTGACCTGGCTGATCAATTGTGGAAGTCTGGGAGTCTTGCTTAGGAGCAAAGGCTATTCTTCCTTGCTGGGCACGGGGCACAGGCAAGGGTGAAAACGTGCCTGCTGCTGTTGCAGGGCTGCTGCAGAGAGCAGCAAACAGCCCTACACAGAATGCTGCTACAAGACACTGCTTATCTGGCACTCAAGGGCCCAGAGAAGAAGTAGCCCTGCATGGACTTCTATTGTATTTGCAGGGAAAGACAAAACTGCACATTGATTTCTATCAGCAATACCTAAAGACACTGTCAGCGAAGGTAAGAATGAAAAAGAAGGGCAGATGGTAACAGTGTGTTTCCTCGTATGGACACTGAATACCTATAGCCATATCACGGTCCATCTTTGCCCACCCAGCCTTTTGCTGTGCTCTGAGCCTGTGTTTTTTGTTGCTTGCAGAACTCCACCGCCACGAGAGCATCCAAGAGAAGAACGTGAAAGAAGCCAAAACCAAGTGCAGAACCATTGCATCCCTGCTGACAGATGCACCCAACCCCCACTCCAAGGGGGTGCTGATGTTCAAGAAGCGCAGGCAGAGAGCTAAGAAGTATACGTTGGTAAGCTTTGGGAGTGTTGACGAAGACCGCTCCTACGAGGAGGAAGACGGTGTTCTTCCAACTAGTGAGTCTGAATTTGATGAGGAAGGTTTCTCTGATGCCCGAAGCCTAACTAATCACTCAGACTGGGACACTTGCCTGGACATTGAAAAGTCGAAGTCTCACTCTGAAGAGAAAGAAACGAAGCAAAAAGGTTTGAGTGAAGCTTCAGGTAAAGGAGCACGATTATTTGAGCAGCAGAGGGAACGGGCTGGGAAGTACTCAGTCGCTAGAGTCCCGGTGCTGAAGAGCCCCCAGTTTACCCCGGTTGCCCAGCCACAGCAGGTCACAACGAAAGGAGGTATGCCTGTGCCACAGAAGGCAGAGCGAATGCCCCTCACCATCCACCTGGAAGGTGTGCAACTGCCCAGCAAGCAGGCAGCCACCCTCCCCACTCAGCTGCTAGGGCTCCCTAGCCCCACTTTTGTCTCACCTCCCCCAGTCACCCCCGACTCCTTCTCTGCAAGCTCAAAAAGCATGTTCAACAGGTCTGCACGGCCCTTTACTCCTGGCTCTTCTGGCCAATGCGCAGCAGCAACCTCTGTCATCTTCACGCCATCCGCACCCAAAAAACCTAGTGAAAGTCTGAGTGGGCAAAGCACGGTGGTTCCCCCTTTCTCACCTTCAGCTCCAGGAACACCTACCAATGCACAGGTGCCAACGCACCGCGGTCCAATCAGCTCCACCACATCTCTGTATATTCCTGCACGAGGAAGGCCAACACCACCACTGCAGTCAGAGCCAAGTGTAGGAGGTGCTCCAGAGACTAAGCCTTCTGCCAACACTGCCCGGACATCCACCACTTCTATATTTCTGTCAACTCCCTCAAAGCCAGAAGGGGAGGCCTTCGCAGCATCCCAGCCAGGAGTCCCTGGAACAGCCTCTTCGGCTTTGTATATTAGTCCAGCACCATCACAGCACATGATGATAAGTAGTTCCCCCATGCCAAAGCAGCGTTTTCCTCCTGTCTCACCAGCTATGCCACGAAATCCTGCTGAGCCCTTAACGTCCAGGGAGCAGAGGATTGCCACGCCAGCTCCCCGCACAGGTATCTTGCAGGAAGCTCGCCGGCGAGGCAACAAGAAACCCATGTTCAGTAAGATTGAGGAGAAGCAGAAAAATTCACCAAACCCTGAGCTCCTGTCTCTGGTGCAGAACCTGGATGAGAAGCCGAAAGGTGACCATCCTGGCGCAGGCTTCGAGTCTGGGCCTGAGGAGGACTTCCTCAGTCTGGGTGCTGAGGCCTGCAACTTCATGCAGTCCTCTGGCCGCAAATTCAAGACTCCGCCTCCAGTGGCTCCTAAGCCTCAGCAGCAAGACGTTGGACTGGTAAATGGGGCCCAGGACATGCCTCAGCTTAAAGGCAAGGGGGCAGAGCTCTTTGCTAAATGCCAGAGCCGCATGGACAAATTTGTGGTGGAGACAACAGCGAAGCCAGAATCCAAGCCTAGACCTCCCTCTCCTTCCCCTTCTCTCCCGTCATCCTGGAAATATTCACCCAACATCCGGGCTCCCCCTCCAATAGCTTACAACCCAATGCTGTCCCCTTTCTATCCCCTAGCAGCTAGTAAATCTCAGGCTAGCAAAGCAGAGAGCAAAGTGAAAAAGGCACCTGGCCAGAAATCAGGGATCAAGGTCATTGATTTAATGCGCCACCAGCCCTATCAATTAAAGTCAGCTATGTTCTGTTTTGAGGAAACCCCGGGCTCCAACATTCAAGAATCTCCTGGACAGCCAGCCCTGCAGACTAGGTCAGCCTTCACAGCAGAAAAGCAGATCGCCGTGAAAACACCCAAGGCCCAGGAGATTCGTCGCTTCTCCACTCCAGCTCCCATGCCAGCCTCAAGCAGCCTGGCACCCACTGTTCTTGCTCCTCGCTCGGCCACCGCATTGGATGAGCCAGTGTGGAGAAAAGAAATGGCCTCTTCTGCCCCCGCTACACCAGCGGCCTTCCAGGTGGAGCTTAGCCAGTCCCTTAAGCCATACCAGAGCTTCCCAGAGCCTGGTCAGGCAGGGCAGGGGCCTTATCCAAAGCCAGCCTCGGCCTCGCGGTTTCAGTCAGCCAGGCCCAAATTCTCAGCAGCGAGAACAGGGATGCAGGCCAATGTGTGGAGGCCGAGCTTTGGCCACCACTGAGGCAGGCACCCCTCCCATCCCATCTGAGGCCCCGCAAAGATAGTGCTCCTTTTGTCTTCCCTCTCAGCTCAGTAGATTGAGGTGAGTGACAAAAAAATGAAGAAAAGAGAAAAAAATTACTCCCCGTCTGCATCATCCTCTCCCCCAGCCTCCGCTTGGTCTCAGATGGGCAGCCTCATAGTAAGGCCTACTAGCTGTGGCTACAGCAGGAGGGAGAATGTGGATAGAGGGCCTAAGTATGGGACAGAGAGACTGGAACTTGCATGCAGCAGAAAAAGCCACTTCTGGAGATGATTAATGGCAAGTGTTCTGTTACAAAAGGATGTGAGACATGTCCTCATGAAGTGCTTTTCTTTTCCCAAGGGCTTTGGAGTCATCCCTGAATGGAGGGAGACTCGGGGGGGCAAGAGGTTTCCCGAAAGAAAAGGACAGAGGTGTGATTACAGTACAGACGCCCTAACCTCCCCGTTAGACTGTTTTTTTCTATGAGCCTGTCAATCTGTACACATGCACACACATGCAGACAGCAACACTCAGCAGGGAGTGAAAGTAGAAGTGGGGCTTTGATTTGGACGATTCTCCCAGAGTCCCTTCTGGAGGGGCATGGGAAAGGAGGTTAGAGAGCAGGGGTGTTTGCACATCCCCACGTGGGCACTGTGCCCTGCACAGGAGGGTTGCCAAGTGTGCGCGTTTCTCCAGACACCAGGGCAGGTGCTAAACCTTACTATTAAGTCTGGCAGCAGTTTGCGAAAGAGGGCCGTTGAATGCACTTGGTTGGGCTATCACAAGCTGGAGGAACTGCAGAAAGAAGTACCAATTTTTGAGGATACATAAAGTCAAAGTTAAGATCAGGCAGTGGCTGGTGTGTGCAAGGAAGGCCCTAAAGCATTCGCCGCACTGGAACAGGATAGAGGCGTCGTAAGTACAAAGGAGGATTTCATGCGAGAAGTTAGAGTTAACTTTAAAAGGCGGCAGGATTGAATATGCATTTACACGTCACCTTTTTTTCGTTCTGGACAGAAGTATGGCTACATTGGCAAAGGTTTATATAGAGGGTGCTGAAAACTGTGATGAGATGGAAAACGGAAACCCCTTACAGAGAGGCTCTCAGTATAGAAGTGGAGGACAGGGAAAGAGAAGTCACAAGTAAAATTTCATATTAAATGATTTAAGTATCCTTGGGGTCTTTTTGTTAAGAACTGAAGTGCCCTGAGAGTCCCAGAGGATCTGCAATAACACACAAAGCTCAGTTTGCTAGCCATGCAGCGGAAACGGGACTGGTTATTATTTGAATGTCCCAGGCTAGCCTCAGCTTTAATCCCTACCCTAGAAGCATAAAAGAAGAAAGCATTCTCTTTCCCAAGGAAGAATTCAGGATGCTAGTGAGGACTGTGTATATCTTCTATGTTCTTCTTTGCACAGACCCCAGCCATTTGCTTTCCGCCTGCAAGCCCTTTTGCAGCAACAACTTTTGCAGTTTGATTCCCAAAAGTACACCAAGAAAGCATTGCTTCTGAATGACTGGCTCCCAACATAGAAAATGCCCCAGCTACAAGGAAGTGGCTCGCCTCCTCTTCCTGGCCAGAGGTTGCTCAGCCTTTTCCCAGACGCTCAGGAATGAGTACTGGCGGTATGATGAGGGTCTCATAGCCCTATTTGAGATATGTCTCAATCTTAAAAGATTTGCTCCTCTCCTTCTAGCAGAAGGCGGTCTCTGAAAGGAATGAGCAAGACGTGTAGATTCTGGGAAGAAAAATGTGCAAATGGGACTGATGCGACGTCGGTAAGCAGTGCAGGTAGAGTGATTTCACTAAGTGCAAGACCACCTTCCTTCGCGCAGCTGGAGTTTATGATGTTTAGCCCTTATCACAAAAGCTGGAGTCTGTACTTTTTCTTGGAGTTTCTAAAGTACACCTGTGAGCACCTGCACATAAGGTATGTGTGCTCTCCCACGCAGAAAAAGAAAGCTGGAGAATACAGCTAGCAGCTGGAGTCCTGGACAACCGTGGGAGGGGGAGAAAGAGGGAAAAGGAAATGTCATACAAGCCAGTCTTTGAATCCTTCACAATCTGGCTTAGATTTTTCTGCAGGCCTGCGGTGGCAGTGCACGTTCCTGGGACCCTGAACATAGTATGAGCATGTGGAGTAGGGAGGAGGAGAGCACTTAACACCTCAGTTGGCCACGGGACAGAATGGAGAGAAAAATCTTTGGGAATGCCTTGAGTTAACGAGAAAAGGGGTGGCTGAGCTAGAAGAGATGCTGCACCTGGTCGTATGATAGAGGAGCAGGCAAGTTGAACTGACGGTGAGAGTAACTGAGATGATTTTATGTATTCTTAGAAGTTAATTCAGATCGTAGAATATAATTGGCTCTGGTGAAGGAGAGCAGAAATGCCACAAAAAAAACCCTAGTAAGTACAATTGCTTTCTCACTCCTCCTCTGCTGCATTACATCGCCAGTGTTTATGAAAAAATTTCTGTGTTGTAGCAAATAGAAGCTCTGTGATTCTTCCCAGCAGTAGAATAATTATGCTCTTTTTCCAAGAAAGGTGTGGGAAGGACCTCGAAGTGCTCCAAATGCTTGGTCTCTAGACTCCTTGTGCAGTGCCATCTCTCTCCCTGGCTAGTGGCTAAAACCAGTTAGCCTTAGACAGGCAATCTAGCCTAGGTTGAAAGCATTACTGAACTCAGGTGTAAAGCGGGGTTGTGTGGACCAGAGAAAGGGTGCTCAAGATAATTCTGCAGTAAAAAAATACCTCACAAAGTCTGAATCTTGTTCCACTGTCCCTTTCCCTCAGGCACCTAAAGATAAGTGCTCTCAGGGCCTGAGTCTTTCTGGAAATTGATTTCACCACAGGAAAAAAGAGGTCTGGCCTTAGCATGTAAGGGAGATTGCATGTGGTTAGTACTTCAGTGGTCCCACTCCAGATTCTGGGAGACATTGATGCAGGAGAAGGAGTAATGGCGAAACACTGCTGACCGTTAGATGTCAGGACCTAAGTCAGTGGAGTAACTGCATATGGCCCATCATTTCTAATAAAGCAGTGGGTAGGAGATGAAAAAGTTATGTCTGATTGCAGAATGAATGTTAAACAACAGACAAAGGAAAAGATCCAGGAGGCCGGGGATCCTGCATTTCACTTCTAACACCCTTAGTTCAAAGAAGCAAAGCCAAAGTAGTTTTATGGATCTCAGCCCCTCCCTATCTTTTCTGAATCCTATGCTGACACAGGACTTCATCTGCAGAAGAAGACGGTGATTCATATGAATCCTACATTGTTTATGGCGTATCCAAATTACGGTCTTGTGGCTGCAAGTAGCATGAGATTAGAAATAATACTCAGAAGTATCTGCTAGGCTACAAGGAAGAAACCTACACTACTGCTGGCTTCAAGCAGCTCTGCTAGTGTCTGCTCATGAAAATATTGTGGCCGGCCTGCTAGAAAGGTCACACGTGAAGTTACGAGCAATATCGTATAAGGTTCTCTTCAGCCTCTCCACATTTCTAATTCCTCACCTGTTGAACAAGCACAAATATAAACAGTTTTTTGAAAAGTTTTAGGTCCCACCAGCTAAGTTCTAAGAGGCATTGGTAGGCCAAACTCCAGTGTCCCCTTGTTAAGCATTTGAAGATATCTGCATGGGTTCTGATTTAAAACTGCCTACAATCACGCCTCTTTGGGGTTTATCTTTGCTTCAGCAGTATCACTCCATTCACTCGGCATATAAAAGAACATTTGCCAGAAATAACTTCAGGACCTTGCAGAAGCTAAGAAGGAGGATCTTGGAAGAGACTGGTGTGATGAGCAGTCATAAAAGTTAGACATAAGCACAGTCCAATCAAAGATCCTCCCTTGCAAAGAAAACGCTACCTTTCTGGTAAAATATCCATCAACCCCTACCGGACCCTCTTCCGAAAAGAAACTCCTCAGTGCTCTGAAACTGGGAGACCAGAAGCAGTCCTCTGTCTGGTGGCAGATGTGACCCCAGAAGAAGATGAGACACACACCTTTGTTTAAGGAAATACATTTTCTCCTTCTCTGTTCCCGCGAATTTACACTCACGTTCTGCCTGTTTGTGCAGAAGAATAAACTTGTGACATGCACTTTATATGTGGCATTTTGTCAACTTCTTTGCTTGGTACCCAGGATAAACGGCTGTGTATATACCACAAGCATACAGCACTACCAACAAACTACTTCAGGCCAAAAGAATATAAGGAGTCTAAAAAGAAGAGATGTCTTGGCAATAAAATCACCTAAGTGGGACTTAAAAACCCTATGCAAGTAAAAACTTAAGTGAGACAAAAACTTTGGTACCACAGGACAAAAAAACTCATTTAATGCTAGGGTGCAGATATTTGTGCGCCAATCTGAGCTGGGTTGACCCTGGTTGGATGCCAGGTGCCCACCAAAGTCGCTCTATCCCTCCCCCTCCCCAGCTGGACGGGGCGGGGGGGGGCAGAGAAAATATAACAAAAGGCTCGTGGGTCAAGATCAGGACAGTTTAATAAAGTGATAGCAAAGGTCGCGCGTGAAAGCAAAGAAAACCAAATGACGCTCTTCTCTACTTCCCATCAGCAGGCGATGTCTGGCCACTTCCTGGGAAGCAGGGCTTCAGTACGCGTAGTGGTTGCTCCGGAAGACAAAAAAATGCCCCCCTCCTTCCGTCTCCCTTTACTTAGCTATATCTGAGCTGACGTCATATGGTATGGAATATCTGTTTGGTTGGTTTAGGTCAGCTGTCCTGGTTATGTCCCCTCCCAAGATCTTGCCCTGCCCCAGCCTGCCATTGAGGGGGGGGGCAAAAATGTTGGAGAGACAGCCTTGATGCTGGGCCAGCACTGCTCAGCAGGAGCCAAAACACTGGTGTGCTATCAACACCGTTCTAGCTACTGATGCAGAGCACAGCGCTATGAGGGCCGCTATGGGGAGTATTAACTCCATCTCAGCCAAACCCAAGGTGGCCTGCCCCAGCCCTGCCCCTCAGCTTGCTCTAAC